GAAGACAGAGGGGAGACTCTGAGTTTTCTCAAAACTCCCCGAGATCCAACAGCCGGCGCGATGAACACCGCGACAAGTCCCACCACCCTGAGCGGATCAGAAAGGGCCCAGCAAAAGGCAGCAGCTGAGAAAGCCGCAAAGGAGCAGGCCAAAACCACCAGCCCTGACAACCGAGCCCGGTCGAAGAGTCGACTGAAGGCCATAGGCACTTTCCTCGGTGCACTGCTCCCGAGTACAAGCCACAGCTCCACACCCACGAAGCAGGAGTCAGCCCTCAAAAGGTTCTTCAAAGGAACACCAGAAGAACCGAAAAAGCCAGTCCCTGTACCAACAAGAGCCGACAAAGGGCACGTCAGCCCACCGACCCTCGCAGTGAATTCGGGCATCACGGATCACGTGGAGAGCGCTTTCCTCGAGTACGTAGCAGTCGTGAGAGCTACCAAGGAGGTCAATCTCATGACATGCAGAAAAATTATGCTGACCTTCCAACGTCAGACGGAGGGTCTGCTGAGAGTACTGCTCGAGGAGGTGGGGGCGGCCGTGTACGACAACGCCACATCCCAGGTGATCGTCGGAGAAATGACGGGGTCGTACATGGCAGCATATAGTGCGACGAGCGGCTTCGTGAGCCTTGATCAAGAGGAGTCGGAACGCACAGGGACAGTGAAATTCAGGACACCCAAGGGCGACTCGATAGTGGTCACCGCCAAATGCACCAGAGTAAAGCTGGAGGACAGGATCCTCGAGATGGCTCAGGCCACTTCTGGGACCACGGAACTCCCGGCATTGCAAGACGGATGGGCGGTGCCCAACATAAGGTGGGTGAACGGAGTTCCGGGTTGCGGTAAAACAACATGGATAGTCGAACAATTCGACGAGAGAAGGGACGTGGCGGTCACTACGACGACCGAAGCCGCAAAAGATCTCAGGGACAGGCTGGAGCCCCGCCTTGGAGAACGCACAAAGACAAAGGTGCGCACTATGGCCTCAATATTGTCCAACGGGTTCAAGCCCCATAACAAATGCCACCGCCTCATAGTGGACGAGGCTCTAATGAACCATTTTGGGGCCATAGTCATGGCAGCAAAACTGTCCGGCGCGGGTGAGGTCGTACTCGTTGGAGACGTGAATCAACTGCCATTTCTGGACAGGGAGAACCTGTTCCAGCTCAGATACACACGTCCAAACATGGTGGCTGAAATCACCCTAGAGCTTCTCTGCACACACCGCAACCCCATGGACGTGGCGTACGCGCTGAGCGAGATATACCCTGGCATATACTCCTCAAGGACGTCGCGGATGCACTCCCTGAGGGTGAAGGGTTACTCGGGAGCGACCATACCGAGACTTGCCCGGAACACCTTGTTCCTGGTCCACACACAAGGAGAAGATTTCCCTTGCTAGCCAGGGATATGGGTCCGGCGAGGGGTCTAAAATACTAACCATCCACGAGGCCCAGGGGTTGACCTGCGACAGCGCTTTAATAATCAACACCAAAGCCAGGCGGCTCCAGATCCACGATAGCGTCTCCCACGCAGTTGTGGCGGTGTCACGACACAAAGTCAGTTGCGTCTATTACACCGACGACGCCGATGACGCCACAGGCCGCCTTATAAAGAAGGCAATGAACGCCCAGACAAAATTGGTCGTCGATTATAACCTAAAGACGGCCATGCAACATCGAGGCGCTCCCATCATGGAAGCGATGCTTAAACTGGCGAAATCCCTGGTCGGTACAGGGCAAGCCCATCCTAAGCAAAATCTGGAAGTCTGAAACCTGTACCCCCGTCCTCATTCATCCATCCATCCAAACCCCACATCAAGCCATAAAATTAGCACTTAAGCATTAACATTGAATATTATAAATAAGGAATAATACTAATATACAAATGTCGGCAAAGTGTAAAAGGAAGTAGACAATAAAAAAAGAAAAAAAAAATATATATATATACATATAAATGTATGCATGCATATAATCAAAAAAACAAGAAGAAAAAAAAAACAATACATAAAAAAGAAAAAAAAAAATATGGACTCACGTAGTTTTAAGATTATAATTATAAACACGTGTCTAGTGAGGACACGAAGCTGTAATAAAAAGAAAAATGAATGTAATAAATAAATGAGAATCATTAAAAAAGAGCGCGGACGCCTATGTCTGCGGCAATTGTTTTATATTTTAAAAAAACCTAACCTAACCTACTAACTGATCCTGATCATGTTAGGGGAGCACCTCGGCACAGCGAGGGGTTTTAGCCGGTTCACATGAAACAGTGGAATGACAAACTTCTGTAAGGAGTCTGACTTTTTGAGGCTTATAATTTTTTGTACGGGTATTCGATTCTATATATGTCTTAATGGTCAGACGTTTAATTATTTATATACTATATTATTTACTCGTTATATTCACCAAATGAGTATATATATGTCGTAGGATAATTTGATACTTCGAATCTTCGCGGAAATCCTAGGGGTTTTGCGAAAACGCGGATAATTAGACATAGGCGAAAAATTATCAAATCTTACTGGACAAATTCAGGATTTTTGCGAAAATACTCGTTACTATAGTAAGATTTGATGTGCTCAACACTGATTGGCTACAATTTTGCTGGCTGACTTCTAATTGGTTCCTAGTTTGCCGATGATTAACTTCAAGTATTGTATCATAGAGATATCAAGGTTTAGAATAGGTGAGAAAGAAAAATCACTAAATTGATTTTTATAAACCTTTTATTGAAAATTTTAGTATGTACGTTGTTTTCTACAGACAATAGGAGATCTCAGTCGTAGTAAAAAAAATGATCCAATTTTAGGGTGTAATCCATAAATTGGATGAAACTGGTCGTTTAAGACGACGAAAAAACATTTAAGACGTCAACCAATCAGAGACGATCTCTTATTGAACGCGCTGACCGACCAATCAGCGTTCTTATTTCATAACAGCCAGCGTTTCGTTTCGCAATCTTACTATAGTAATGAGTATTTTCGCAAAAATCCTGACTTTGTCCAGTAAGATTTGATAATTTTTCGCCTATGTCTAATTATCCGCGTTTTCGCAAAACCCCTAGGATTTCCGCGAAGATTCGAAGTATCAAATTATCCTACGACATATATATAAAAAAAAACCTTGTTACTTGTAAACTAAGTATAATTATGTTTCCGGATCAACTAGTAAATGAATAAAATGTTCCGCTGCTGACCACATCGCACTATGCTTTGTTGATCGACACGCGCTTGTTATGTGCGAGCGCTGTTATTACCTAACTAGTACAGACACACAGTCGTGATGTCTGTAATCAAGTCCTGTGACAGTTGACTGGCGGTGATGTGCGGTCTACGTATAAAACAATACTAACACTATGAATATTTCATACAATAGTCATCGGCTTCGGAAACTATTAAGTCTTTACGTAGGGTATCGTATAATTTTAAACTTTGTTATATTGCTAGTAGCAAAATAATTGTTACCCTTCAGACAATTACTTCTGAGGATCATAAATGCTTCATTGGAATATTAATTTCTCACGTAGATATATATATTTGCTAGGGAATGTTCTAATGGACGTTATTGCCCTTCACATCGCACCAATAGCAACTCATGTGCGTTTACCGTAAGTAGTAGACTACTCTGCGACCATTACGAACAGTCGCGTGGCAAGGAACCTACAAATCTACATACCTAATATATAATTATATAAGATGTAAGTACTTCCTGACGTATCGGTACTATAGTAGTGTCAGTGGTCTGGTGGCAGTGTGGTAATTAGAGAGGTTGGTACAGGTCGGTGTGTGCCGGCAGCGTGGCGCCGCACGTGCGGTGCTTGCGGCGCGTCGGCTTCTGCCGCTGGGGCGCGGCGGCGCCCGCCAACCCACTGCTGGCCACTGCAGCTCGCTTCTATCACGTGTTCGCACTAGCAGCCACTTCTACCTATGTCTTGCAACAGCTTATTTACGCTTATCAGGCCAGTAGTTTTATTATTATAATTGACTCCAATAACGACACATTGTTATTAGTGTTATTACACAAGTAAGCTTGCACCTGAAATTAATGTCAATGTCAATTTCAAGCCAATTCATTCAATAAAATCTCAATAACTATTAAATGTCAACACGATACATCGCAACTTTCAAATTAGCATTTAGAACACGGAATAAAAAGCCAAACTCAAAACTATTTAGTTCATTAAATATCCACCCAAATCCGATGCAATGTGGCGCTAGTGTTTCGATTGAAGAATACGAAACGTTTGTGCAATGACCATCAATCGGAATTGGTTTCAAGAGTAAGCTTCAGGTGTCGAAGATCAGTGATAAAAATTCCCTCTTTTGTATTTTATGTATTTGTAATTCGGATAAAAAGTAAAAACTAAACATGTCCATTATTATTACAAAGAAAATCCGATAACCCTTTAAAACCGATCCTCCTTATGAAAGTTGTAAATTCCGAAGCATCTCCGGTAGCTTTTGAGTGTTTTGAGCATTAGAGGTTAGGTTAGTGTTAGTAGTTAGGTACTCCGACTCGTAATGGTAAGTTACTTTGTCTTGCGAGTAGGTACCTACTTAGTAGTATGTGGTAGTATCTGAATGTCTCCACAAGGACCATAATAAAAACTATTACTATTCTCATATTTTTTTAACAACGTGTTTTGTTTTATTATACAAAGTTATCGTTTTATAGAGGTATATTTCAGAAATACTATTAGATATATTAGATACTAGCTTTGTATGCCATTCTCATGGAATTGTTTACATTTCCTAGGATATACATAATGTGTATTCCTATGAAATAATTATTAAAGCAATAATTATATTAGACCTTTTTTTTAATAAAATTCCTAGATCAAAGAGTCAACGTACAGACCGTGCAGTCAAATTACAATTATATAATATATGGTTTTATGTGAAAATGTAACTCGTTAGATCACAGGTACTTGTGCTAGGCAGCGTAAGTTACTGTGTGGTGAATTAAATTTCCCTTGCTTGTGCAGGAGAGAAGCGACATGGACAAGCTGTCGCAAGTGATGTTTGTGTTGCTGTGCCATGTCACATGCGTCGCCAAGCAAGTCGCCTTCCACGTGGACGCAGACCGGATCGATGAACTCATCGCGCGGCTGGACGGTGAGCGCAAGGCAGAGGACGGGGCTCCGCGGGTGATGCGAATGTTGAGCGGGTGCGGGGCGTGTGTTGCAGAGCCGCTGCTGAACCAGTGCGCGGGGCCACGCGGCGCGCTACTGCACGGCACGGCGCGCCGCGCGGCGCGACTGCTTCGCGTGTATTCCGGCTGCGCAGTGGCCACCTGCGTGCTATGGATAGTGTTTCCCGTACTCTACAGGATACGGGGCATCTCATTCGAGTTCCCCTTCTGGGCAGGCGTTTCTTACGATCATAATGTTGTGTGAGTCTAAAAAAACAGACACCATATTGATTTTACGGTCGGTGCAGTGTGACTCGCAAATCCATGCAGTAGGGTTGGAAGATGGAGCTGGGTAACAAGAAAACATTAAGGTAGGTTTTATACGGCAAGCGAGCACACGGATTACTTGGGGTTTTTCACCAACTCGACACGAGGAACTGATCACACGTGTGTCCAGTTGGTGAAACTTTAAATTAGCACTAATTATTCTTTCGTCATTTGGACACGCCAAGGTTTTTATGTATGTCCACATAGTGAAAATCAAATTAAGTTACTTTTGTGTTTTCGTCAACTGGACACACGTTCACATTTTACCCGAATGTATAACAAAGTACAGTCACGCAGATAATATTTTTGAATCACAATCATCGTTGTCCTCTAAACGTCCCACCTAGTAATTTCACCGGGTAATTTTGTAATTATTCACCATTTGTGAATTTGTAAAAAATATATTTTTGACACCGAAAGTGTTTGAAAGTCGCTATTACCATGTTACGAGTACTATGCTTGTCAAATCTTCAACATGGAACCTGTTTTATTACAGTCTTTGAGTCTAACTCTAATATAAATACCTATTTGATTGTTACTCATTTGTTTTATTTCAAAATTTGTCTTAAAAACGAAACAATTTTTAACTTAACTGTACCTTTTTTAGAAAAAAAATATAGGTGTGTCCAGTTGACGATAACATTAAAGTAATTAATTTTAATTTTCACTATGTGGACATACATAAAAACCTTGGCGTGTCCAAATGACGAAAGAATAATTAGTGCTAATTTAAAGTTTCACCAACTGGACACACGTGTGATCAGTTCCTCGTGTCGAGTTGGTGAAAAACCCATTACTTGATGGTAAGCAGTCGGTGCCGTCCATGGACACCCGCAACATGCGAGGAAAGTTACAACGACTTTCAGTTGTTAAGTGAAAAAATGGACGAGGTCAAATATCGGTATTTTATTGGTAACGGCGGCAGTTGAACAGTTTAGTTTACAGGTCTTCTATACGATCGGAGTTGTCGGAAGTAACTTTTACCGATTAAAAAAATAGGAGGAAGTTTTTCAGGTACCTACTAAGTATGTTCGAATGTTTTTTTGTATCTTCAACAATTACTCCGCCGATTTTGGGCTGACTTTCAAAATTACTTTTTGTTTAAAACGTTAATCCCTATTTTTTCGGAATCCCATCCCACAAAATAATATAACTCAATGGTCACAAAATTGTAAACACTTAAAATAAGGTACGCACCAAAACAATTATTCTTCTGTTGTCTAGTGCATTTATCGAAGAAGGATAAAGGCTATATATACTATAGACATCACGTTATGACCAATAAAGCCGAACAGCGATTGAAGCCGCGGCAGCAGATAATTTTAAATAAAAAGAGTTGGGTTTCAGGTTTGGCGCAGTGCTGCTGTACTCCTTCTATACAACCAATTTGGTAGCGATCGGTAACACAACAATGGATGCGTTCATGGCTACAATACTGGATCAGTGTAAAACTCAACTTAGAATATTGAGGTAAGTAAGATTGTCCTCGTTATTGTGACGGGGTGTAGAACGTGAGCCAGCGAGCTACGTTGTGTTATACATAATTATATTTACTTTATACTCTTACATACAAATTAAGTATGTGGAAATACTTTATTTTTAACTTTTACCACGAGGTGGGGAATACATGGTACTTAACTATTTAACAGTATAAGCTAAAAAAGATAATGGTAAACGTCATCATCATCAGCCTAGAAGTCTCCACTACTGAGCAAAGCCTCTTCTCACACGGAGAAGCTTTGAGCATTAATCGAGAAATTATATGTCCAAGTTTCCTCACGATAGCCATCAGACCGCCACAGACGGGGCCCAATAGGGCTATTGTCGACAGGGAGCCGCTTAACAGGTTGCCGGGGCTCCGGTTCGAAGTGCAGGAGTAGGAACGGGGTCGTTTTTAGTCAGTAAGAATCGGAGACTCCCCCTCGCCTCACCCGCGTGGGATAAGAGTTTGGATGATTTTTCCTCCTCAAAAAAAAAGATAAGTTTCTTCACGATGTTTTCCTTCACCATTTTGTCTGTGGTGTCTAAATAATCTTAGAAAGTATGTATGTACATATACCTAACTCGGAAAAAGTCACATTGGTACGTGCCGTTGGTAGGTTTTGAACTCGCACACTCGTGCATGAAAAGCAGGCGTCTTAACCTCCGGCCTCCGGACCCACATGACAATAATTTATAATTACTGAACAAAATGTTAGTGATCATCAGGCAGATTATCACCGATGTCACTAGCGATGAAATTGTATGAAATTGTAGGACTTTTTTGTATAGGTCATTAAACAAACTAGGTACTTACCCTAAAGTAAACATAAGTGAAAATGACAAGTAATGCCGAAATTGAAAAAATAAAAGTTGGCAACCCTACATACACTGGTAATGCATTTACTCGTGCCTTTTACCTTACTTTATTAATTAATATTATTCGAGCATCCAGTACTACTAGCGGTCATCGCGTGTGCTCCCTCGCTCCTATGTATCACTCATAAACCTTTGGTCTGGTTATTATATTTTTTATTATTGACTTTATAACTGCAGTATCATTTAACCTACTGCCTCGTTGGCCGAGTGGTCACAAGTGCGACTGCCGGGCAAGGGGTCTCGGGTTCGATCCCCGGGTCGGGCAAAGTATTATTGGGGTTTTTAGAAAATCTCAGTAGTAGCACGGAGTCTGGAATTGTGCCCGGTATATGGCAATAGGCTCACCCCCTATTACATGGGACTCATAACATAAATAGTGAAAAGTTTGTGTTACATTGTACAGTGGCATAATGTGCACCTCTGCCTACCCCTTCGGGGATAAAAGGCGTGATGTTATGTTATGTTCATTTAACCTACTACCAAATTGTACAGACACAATAAAATTATTTCTGTGCTAGGTACTTACACATAAAAATATACAAGTGCGTGTACTCATAGGTTGAACTTCGAAACGCTGCCGGAGAGGGCGCGCGCGCTGCAGCAGTCGGGCGGCGGAGTGTACGAGGCGAGCCTGCAGCGGCTGTTTGTGGACTGCCTGCTGCACTACAACATCATCACCGAGTGAGTACTGCACGCACTGCACGCACTGCACGCACTGCACGCACTGCACGCACTGCACGCACTGCACGCACTGCACGCCGCTCGACTCGTAAATACAATGTATGTACATAAAAGTCTACCGGTACCGAGTGACTGACTGACAGCGACAGACAACGCACAGCCGAATCTGCAGACCCTAGGAAGCCGAAACTTGGTATGAATATATCATATTCATTGGTAAGTGCAGGGGAGCGCTAAGAGAGAGATTTTCCCAAAATCCTACGGGACCGGTAATAGCGGCAATCACTTATTTCGTCGAACGAAGTCGCAGGCAGAAAACTAGTACTATATGAATAAAAGGAAAATAGTTTATTTCCATTACAAAATACGCGTCAGGAATGTGACTTACACATTAATTTAAAATGAAATATCAACTCACTTATTTAGATTTTTATATTAATGTCTTACTGTAAAACTGACGGTTATTTCATTTATTTTCAAAATCATTTCTGTATTTATTTTATTGCCAATGTCCCTCGCGTCTTCTCAAACGCATATGTCTGAATTAAAACATCTTTGTTTGTCGGCTGCATGCAAGTATGAATGCATTAAGTACATATACTAATTGTATAAGTACGCGATATACTCCTACTACCAAATGTATGTTTATGCCTTGTTTACAAATAGATAATGTGATTCCTGAAGAAGGTTTAGGTGGATAATCCCTTTATTGTGGGTATGACCACGCGGGTGCAGTCACGGGCAGAAAGCTAGTTAAAATATCAATGTTTTGCGATGTGGTAGTAAGTATTAATTAATGTTTTGTTTAAATCCAGTACCTGCACAGTCCTGCACGACGTGTTCGCCGTGCCGCTACTCATACAGTTTGGTGTGGGCGGCTGGATTCTGTGCATGGCCGCCTACAAGATAGTCAGCGTGAGCATCATATTGTCACACCACTGATCATTGGAGATACAGCAGGACTGGTTCATAGCTGTTCATGCGTTTCGTTTTGGTTGCAGTTGAACGTGTTCAGTATCGAATTTGCATCAACGACGTTGTTCATCATCTGTATTCTGATCGAACTCTTCATATTCTGTTATTACGGAAATGAAGTAACAGTGGAGGTAGGTGTGGGTGAGTGGGTGCTGACGACGGAGACGGTGCAGTCAATAGAACGCGGGCGATTTAGGCGCGGAGTGTTGCAGAGCTCGCGCGTGTCGGAGTCGCTGTACAGCATGGAGTGGGCGCGCGCGGGGCTGTCGTTCCGGCGCTCGCTGGTGCTGGTGATGGAGCGCGCCAAGCGCCCGCTGCGCCCCGCCGCCGGCCGGGTCATCCCGCTCTCACTCGACACATATGTCACGGTGATACTCCCAGATCTTAACACTTTGCTTTCACGTGCTACCTATTCATATCAATTATCCAATTTTATGTTGGATTGTGTGTTTTTCAGATTTTGAAGTCATCATATAGCTTCTATGCAGTTCTACGGCAAACTAAATAATAACGAGGAAGAAAAACGCATTATACAAGTTGAGAAAACTGCACACCATTTTAAAATAGTACTTATATTATTTATTACCTTATTTATTTATTATGTATGTATTCCTTTAAAAACGTAATTTAATTTTATTTGTTACTTCTTGTATGTCCACTTTCAAAATAATCGGGTGACGCATGAGCAGACGGACCACCTACTGGCAAGCAGTGGCGCCGTCCAGAGTCCAGGCACGCCGGTAGTACGTACCACCAAACTTACAATTCCTAAAAGGATAGCAGCGCACTTGTAACTGCTGTGGTGTTTCTTTGCGAGTGTCCCGGTGTCAATGCCCGGCGTCGATTGCTTGTCATCAGGTAGATAATCGATCTGTTTGTTTCTCAGTTCCACCCTATGCCATTAGAAAGTTTGCCTCTCTCACACTTAAAGTAACCCACGTGAGTAATGTAAACGGAGTCGAATAGTTATCTTTATCATTAGATTGTCTACTAGAGGTATTATCTTTATTTTAGTGAGAGCTATCTGCGATCCTTTAATGTTCTTTTAAATTTGTTGTTATTCATTTAAATGATGTTTGAATATTAATTAAATTCTTTGAATCGTTGTATTTTGTGTTCTTATTTATTCGACAAACGCCCAGTAAGTTAATTACAGAATAATATACTTTCATTTATTCATTTCATTACATTATATCTGATACAACATATATTATGCAGGCCTACACCTACACCGACCTATTTTAAGAATTAATAATGTATCATCTGCAAAAACTACCATTCTTGGTTTATTCTTGAATATAAATGGCAAATCATTTATATTTAAACTAAAAAGAAAAAGGGACTCAATATTGAACATTGAGGAACGCCCATATTCATCCCAGAGTCCTGTGAGGTAATACCGTTAACATGAACCTTTAACTGTCTTTCTTCTAAATAAGATTTCATAAGATGGAGTGCAGCGTTTCTAATCCCGAAGTCACCCAATTTCAGCAAAAGTGTCTCGTGGTCAATGCAAGCAAATGCTTTTGAGAGGTCACAAAAGACACCAATATCCTGTGCTTCCTCTCTAGTACTAAATATTTTTCGGTAAAAAGTAAAAATAAAAATTTTGGTTAAAAAGGGTATCCTATGTCGGTCTCCTGGCTCTAAGCTACCTCCCTACCAATTTTCAGCCAAATCTATTCTGCCATTCTTGAGTTATAAGTGGTGTAACTAACACGACTTTCTTTTATATATATAGATTGGCAAAATATTGTTAAATTCTGTTCACAAATGAACATACCATGTCAGCGAGATAATCCTACGTGATAAAGTACTGAAACACATACCTATTAATTATTAAGGATACAACTAAGAAAACATCACGTAGGTTTCAGGAGTCAGGACACAGGAACAGTACAGGTGAAACTCCTGGATTTTTTATTTTTTGACATCACGAAAATAAATTAATATCAAAATACACATACTTAACACCTTAACAGAATAATTATCGCCTCGTTGAAAGATCTTCTCTTTCTTACTCTGTTCCCTAAAACTCAACTCAATTGAAGGTGGGCAAGAAAAGAGATAGAAGCTACATTTACTGCGCAAGAGTGACCAAAGAAATTTTACCTCTTTCTCAAGTAACAGTTAGGTACTCAATAAAAATGTATTCATTACAATTTGCTATGTAGTCTCATGTGACTTGATTCACCATTCTATCGAATTTGCAAAGTTGTCGAAAGATTTTTATGACATGTGACACATCATTAGCAACAATATTGCCGACAAATGCTGCGAGGGAATCATGAGTACACAAACGAAGTTCTTTTAGAGACTCTCGCTGATTTCCAACATGTTTAGCAACATAATGATGATGTCATGTCGCGTGAAAAGTGTTACCTAGTGGATACGAGGTTTTCAGGTGCGCTTTGGGTACCTACACTAGATTAATTTCAGTAAGTCCAAACAAATTTTTCGAAATGTAGTTTCGTTGAAAAATACTTTTTCGATTAAATTTATGAAATAATGAATGGAGACACATTATTTCATATCATTTTAAAATTCTTATTAAATGCGCCAACTTTGGTGAAATTTGCCACTGCTATCACAGTACAATTTTCAGTACAGTCACTGTCGTAGGTCTGTCGGGTTATTTTAAATTAAAACAGAAGACTGCACAATTAATAGGTTTAATTACTACAAATCAGAATCAAGACCGGATCGCACCGATACAAAGAAATGCCCGAATGCTATGGCTGGCGTGAGTGGATGAAGAAGAAGCGCGGCGCTCGCGCGGACGTGGGTTTTTATATCCCCGTCCCGCGCGTCGCCGCCTCTATGGTCGATGACCATACTAATGCGCCGACAGTCACTTAAAATAAGTTGAATAATTTATTAAGAAAACTTGGCTCGTAAAAAAACGACAATATTTTCCAAACTAAAGCAGTTGGCTCAGAATTTATGATTCAATAATACTGAAGCACTATTCAGGATAAAGTAAGCAAAAACACAGACGAAAAAATAAAGAATTCTAGCAATAACAGCCAAAAAACTGGCACAGGGTGTACTTTTCGTGGATAACACATAATAAGTCATTGTAATTTAAAAACTATTTGACTTGGACTTTTTCTATATTTTTCTGATAACTGTAGGAACCTTGCCGACCACCTGGTGCCATTTGATCGTCGACTTCAGAGACACCGGTATGTATAAGTATAGAAACAAACAACAAAATTAAATGATGCCAAGTTAGTAGTTGGCAGTACGCGGAACCAGGCGGCAGTGAATCAGTGTGGAGGCGGGGCAGCCGTGGCACGCGAGGGGCGGCGCCGGTCCTGCTCTGTAATTAATCTGTTAACGTAGCCGACGTTATAATGACACGGTGCGCCTGTAATTACCTCATTATTGAATCAGAACGTCGCCAGATTTGTCATCGGGTTAGGAGTGCCACACCGTCTCTACAGGACTCCGATAATGTTTGCATTCCACATTTTGGTTTACAATAATCGTGCTAATATTAATTTTAATAATACTTAATAAATACTTATTATTATTGTAAAGCTAGTCAATTATTTCTATTAGACTACTTCGGACGTCATTTCTTTCTCTTGCATTAAATCGTCGTCACTCGGGATAACATAATATCCTCGACATTGGATCAGAATGTGCCCATTGTTAGCTAGACAATTTTTGCATCTATTATTATAGTCTATATATTTTTATTATAGTTTTGTTTGTTAGCGCAGTGGTACAGTGCGGTGTGTGCGCAGGTCTCTGTCGTCGGGCAGCGTGGCGACACACCTGCGCATCCTGCGGCGCTGCGGCTACTGCCGGCTGGCTGGCGGCGCGCGCGTCGCCCGCCTCGGCTCGCTGCACGCGCTCTACCGCGGCTTCACGCTCGCACTCACTACTCTCTATCTGCTACAAGAATGCATCTATGCCTATCAGGTTTTAAAATACTTAAATACTAGCGGCCCGGTACGTGCTTCGCTACGTATAAAGTGAAATAAAATAAACAAATCGGAACATCAAATTCATTTATGCCTGCCTCGTTGGCCGAGTGGTCGTAAGTGCGACTGCCGGACAAGGGGTCTCGGGTTCGATTCCCGGGTCGGGCAAAGTATTACTGGGTTTTAAATATTCTCAGTAGTAGCACGGAGTCTGGAATTGTGCCCGGTATATGGCAATAGGCTCACCCCCTATTACATGGGACTCATAACATAAATAGTGAAAAGTGGGTGTTACATTGTACAGTGGTATAATGTGCACCTCTGCCTACCCCTTCGGGGATAAAAAAGGCGTGATGTTATGTTATGTTATGTTAAATTCATTTATTTAATCAAAAAAATATTTTATTTAAAATCGAAATCAATTGCTAGCTATTTACAACACACTTAATCCAAAACATTTGGATAAACAATATTTTTTGTTTTTCATGACGATCAGTTGTCGACTGGCCTTCAAATAAATTGTTCTTGATGTCATCCCACTGCGGATTACATGTAAATGTAATGAACAGATCCGGTCGACCGTATTTTCGTACATAAGACATTGCGTCTTGTGCATATTCGTTCATATGCCGTGGGCTACCAATATACGAAGATGGCAATATAGTTAAACGTCCGATGTCATTAACATTAGCATCATTCGCTATCGCATCTTGCAAATGAATATATTCTTCGGATCTTAATTTTGCTTGGTTGAAACGAATAAAATTAAGACGTTCAGTCTCTATTTTGGCATACATATCAACGATGTACTGATGATATAGTTTACCACATTTTAAGATATAATTTTGTTCTTGTGGACGAATCATCAATCGATACGAATAAAAATTCATGGCACTAACTTTTTTCTGTATATGTAGACCTGAAAATAATTACAAAATGTGACTTTAGAAAGTTGTAGAAATGAAATGTCAACACACTAAAAATAGGTCAATTATTTACCTGTTCGTGGATCAATCATTGGTATATTGATATGGTAACCATCGTCACCTTTCCAATGCAATATTGGGTACTGTAATGCATCGTAACTACGATGAAGTTCCGAAACACGTTGCAATTGCTCATTTCTACGATGAAGTACAATATCACGGGATTGAAACTGATCACCAAGAATTACAATTGCAACCTCATCAATTGTTGGTGCATTAAATCGCCTTGCATGCTCTCCAAAAGGTGTTCTATCAGCTCTTATTACGATTTTGTGATTATCAGTTGGCATACGATCGAGAGCAATTTTAAACAATTGAACTAATGCGTTATGCTGATGGAAAAACCTTTGTAGCTCACGAATAATTTCTCGTCTTGTATTCGAAACAATTGCACAACGTTGATCCAATTCACGATTTTCATCACCAATAAAATAAATTTGCAAAAATTGATGATCAGCGTCGGGGTATGGCAATAACGAACCAGCTTGATGATAAATCTGGCCCTGAATCTGTAACATGTATACAATTTTAGGTAAATCTTATATCAGTTTTTTTTTAAATATACTTTATGCTTCAGATTGATACAAACA